TCCTGCAGGGGGCAGCCAAGGAAGCCAGGAGTGCCCCCCCTTTCCCAAACTCAGCCCCCTCTCAAGGTGGCGGCTGACAAATTCTGCCCCAAACAAGCAGGCACTGCAGAAGGCTCCCCCCAGGGCAGCAGTCCACCAGGGGCCCTTCCACACCGGTGGGCCCCTCCTGTGGGGAGCAGAGCCCCAGGTCCAGCTACCATAAGCACAGGCTGGAGCACACACCCCCACCCCGTTTCCTCCACGCAGCTGTGAGGCCTGACTCAGGAGAGCTCGACTTCCAACAAGGGAGGGGAGCAGCCTGTTCTCCTGCTGGGCACTGCTGGGCGAGGCTGTGCCCACGTTTGTCTTGGCCACTCTGCTCTGGAGAGCCAGCAGGCGCCAAGAGCAACCGTCAGCCTTGAGGGCAGCTGGTCTGATCCAGCCAGAACCGAGCTGCCCCTTGCCCCCGTTGCCAGTTTCTGCAGCCCTCCAGCTCCCTCCCTGGGCCAAAAGGGCGCCTTTAAGGGGGGGAACAATGGGGTACACAATGGCAGGGAGGGAGAGGCAGGGTGCCTTTTCTCAGGAGAACTGCAACTTGACCCGGCACAGCCACGGAGGACAAGGCCTGCCTCCATCCTGCACAGAGGAAGGGACAGCAGCTTCTGTGCACGTGTGGAGTGTCTTTCGCTGAACACAGAGGGAGCCCAGTTCTGGCTCACAATGGCTGTGTTCTCACAACATGCTGGCCCACTGTTTATGGGAACCCAGCCCTCCGGCAGCATCTTGGCCTGCCCCCCCATCTCCCCCCACCCCAGCCATGGAGCCAGTGGAGCTCAGCGGCCACACAGGCACTCACCTCTGCTGCTCTGCCGGAGGCGCCCCACAGCAGGCCAGGCCTTTATTGCACTGTGAAGGAAGGGCATGGGGGGAGTGGAAGGTGGCAGCCGAGCTGTGACTCGCCCTCACAAGGCCTTGGCTCACTCAGCTGGCCAGTTCCTGGGAAGAAGGGGGGGCAGAGGAACGCCTGGCATAGGCACACACTCCCCCCACCCCTCCACCATGTACACACAATTTCCATGCACACCACTCACACCACCCACCATGCGCCCAAAGAGAGGCCTTTCCGGACACCGAAGATCAGTGCAGGGCATGGTGGCTCTGAGGAGCCAGCAGGCGTCTTTCCAGGTGCCAGGGATGTTCCCTCCTCGGGCGCCATTGCTCTCCTTCCAAACTTCACACCCGCCCCCCCCCCCACTGCACAGGCTTCTCTTCCAGTCTGGAGGCTGAATCCCAGGAAGGGCAACAAACACACGAACGCAGCCCGAACACGGGATTCTTACAGGGGAGTTGACTTGAGAAGTGGTCCTAAACGTCTCTCTCAGCTCAGCACTGAGATGCTGTGATGGGGCAGGGGGACGGGGGGCAGCTCACAGGGACAGGAGACCCCATGGCTGGAGTGCCCTGTCACGCACCGGAAGGGCTGCAAGGCTGGGGGCACAAGGCACCAAGGGAGCACCTCCGGCCAGGAGGTCAAGGGCAAAGGGCTTTTCCCATTTAGCCCACGTTTCAGGCCGGGAGGGGTAGATCCTCCACCCCTCCCAATTACCCCTCCACAAGCCCGATGCCTCTCCTGCAGCCGGGCTGGCAAGGCCTGCCGGTCCACCCCCTCCCCCTCCGCTGGCCCGTCCTTTCCCAGTCGGGCACCCAGCTCCAAGGGCAAGCCACCCAGTCCGGAGAAGGAAAGGATGCCCTTTCACCAGGTGTCCCTCGTGCCCAAGACCCAGATTCTCTGCAGCCCATGCTGGTGCCAACATGGTGCCCGCATGTGGGGGGGCAGGAGGCAGAGTTTTGCAACTTTCCAAGTTGCATTCCAGGGACGGGCCCCGGCTGGCCTGCCTGACCCAGCTAAGGCGATTAAGGGCACAAAGTTGCCACACAGGCGGCTTCTCACCAACCGCTCCAGATTCCTGAGGAGAGATGGAGCCCCCGCAGCCAACTGGTCCTTGGGGGGGGGCAGGAGGCAGCAGAAACTCCTTGGGTGGGCAGGACAAGGGTCTGCAGCCTGCCTCAGCTCCCCCCCCCCGAAAGGAGCTGCCCTCCTTCCTTGGCAGACAGCATCTGACTCCAGCCACAACCTGCAAGGCCCCTGACAGGGAGCACCTTCCAAAGTAGAGGGGGAGGGGAACTTTGGTTCCCCCCCCTTCTTAAAAACAGCTTCTGAAGAAAGGCAGCTGGAAAGGCTTATGCCAGTGCCTGCCTGGAAAAAAGCACTCTGCACATGTGCGAGAGGGAAAGTAAAGCTGGGGGCCGAGGCCCGCCGCTCCCCTCTCTGGGCAGCTGGCTCCTGCAGCCCCCGGGGCCAATGGGGAGTCCAGCCCCAGCTGCCCGTCTGCCCCTTGCCCATTCTTGGGAAACCGTTTCCACCAACTGGCCTCGGGTGGACAGTTGGTAGCTGGAGGGTAGGACTTGCTGCCAAGAAACAGCCGACGCTTGGACTCCGCCCAAGAGCCCCGCCCCAAGCAGGATGAAGCCCCTCACCCTGCTCTAGGGACCTGGAAGAGACGGCGAAAGAGAAAAGGGAAATGCAAAGGAGAGGGGGCCGTCTGGTGGCCTCCTGGCACTCAATGGCTTGTTGGCTGGACCTGCTCCTGCTGCCCATTCTGCCAGGTGGGCACTGCCCTCCCACCCCACTCCACTCCAGCTTGGGCAACCCGAGAGCCCCCCAAGGGCCCCAGTCAAGCAAAGCACCCACAGTTCCCTTTTTCTAGCCCCACAGGAAGGGGTGCTGCTAAGAAAATAACCTGGGCATGAACCACCCAGCTTAGTTTCTGGGAACTTCCTATTTCTGGCTGGGAGGCGCACGGGGCCAGGCGCACAGAGAGGGAACAAGATGCCCGCTGCCCAAGAGGTTTTCCGGTCGGGATCTGTCGTGCTTCGGCTGCTGGGTGAACCTTGATGCCCCTGGCAGAGGTCCAAGAATTCTGGGCTGGGAAGCCAGATGCTGGCTCTGACATCCTTGGAGCCTCAGACGGTCAGCTTTGCTGCTGCCCCAATGAGGACTAGAAAGCCACTTTCCTCCGGAAACACCAAGGCCAGCCTTTGACCCAAGAATCGATCCCATGCTCACACAACGAAGCCACACGGAGTGGGCGATACTTGCTTGGGCAATGTGCCCCTCAAACACATCTGGAGCTGAATGTTCTCCACCCCGTAGCTGTGGACCAGAGCTCCCGGGGACTAAGCATCCTTTGGAGCGGGATGCCAGCTCCCCTGTCCACCATTTCTCTGAAAGGAGGTGCCAGAGCCTGCCAGCCGGCCGGGTCTCTCTTTCCCAAGGGGGAGAGCAAGGTGCGACCACCTCAAGGCAGCAAGTGGCCATGGGCACCACGAGCAGAATCCTCTTTCCCAGCCACTGAAGGAAGGGGGCTCCCAAAGAGCCCTCCAAGCCACTCTTTGCAAGCCTCTGGCGATACAGCCTCTGCCAACTGCTGGAGCACCAGCATCTCTAAGCCAGCGCGCTCAGGACAGCGGGGCAGACAATGTGCTGCGGGGAAGGAGACCCACCCAGTCAGAGTGCCTGCTAAAAATAGCCGTCCCCACAATTCCTCCCCCCACAACCCAGCACAAGTAACAGGAGCCTGAGGATGAATCACAAGAGGCAGGCAGGCAGGCAGAGCTCTTCCTGCTCCCAACCCACTCCCCGTCCTTTTACCTGGAAGCCATTCTAGCAGCACCCCTCCCTCCCTGGCCCCTGCCTGCAGGATGAGCCCTGCAAAGGGCTGGATCTAGGCAGGCAGGCTGGCAGCTCTTTGCCAAAGCAGCTTCTGCTCCACGGAGGCAGCGGAGAAAGGAAGGCCTTCCTGGCACTCAGAGACTCTGCCACGAACAAGAACACGAGGCAGTACCTAACACACCCCTGTCCTCCTCACCGCTCAAGGCTTTGCACTTCCCTCTGGGCCATCGCAAGACAGGCAGGGTGGAGGAACAGTTGAGGCTGAGAGCTGGGGGGCCGTGTGTTGCCAGCCTCCTCTATGGAGGGACTCAGAATCCGTCCTGGGCCCGGAAAGGGCGGGGGCGCAGCCACGAAGAAAAAGACGTGGAGGTACCAACCTGTTGGTGCATATGCCTGAGTGTGTACCGAACAGGCCGACCAGACCCAAGTGTGCACCTCTAGGCACACCTTCAGCTAACACAGGAGGGAAAGTGGATTGTCCAGGTCCCTTAGCAAACCCCTTAGGAAGCAGCCCGCCCGCCCCCGCCTCGCAACCGGTCTCTGGAGAACCTCTCTGCAGACACGGTCCGCTGGACGGTCCTTCCCACGTTCAGTTTTCACCTGATGACACGCCTGGCAGCACTGTGGCCAGGAGGCCTTCTCCAGCGAATAAAATGAACCCTCTGGCAGCTGATGGGCAGCTCGGCACCATGGAGGATGAGGCGCCTCAGACGCTAGGGCTGTGGGCTGGGCGCTCCCTCCACTCACCCCATAGCTCTCTTGGCTTCTGGATGGCTCCTGCTGCGAAGGGAAAGGCGCTGGGAGCTGAGCTGTTTCCGACCCCCAGAGCATGGGACATGGCGCAGGACGCCTCCGCGGCCTTGGAGGCAGGGCAGCAGCCCACCAGGGCCCCAGGCTGGGGTGGCACCCCCACCCCGGGGCAGGCACCGGGCGCCTGCTCTGCTGCTGCTGCTGGTGCCAAGGCGGAAGGCTGGCGTAGGTTAGAAGGCGAGGAGGAAGCGGCCCCTCACCTGCCTCCCGTCCTCCCTGGCGCAGCAGCAGTGGCTGCGGCTCCCTGCCAGTCTTTTATACCCGGGCCAGAGGGAGGGAGAGGCGCGGGCAGAGGGGCCGTGGCTGCGATGGCCGCCGTCTCTTTGTTCTTCCGCAGCTCCTCCGTCAGCAAATTGTACTTTTTCCCAACAGTCTTCAAAGCCCCCTGATCACAACAACTGCTACTTAGCCAGCGGCCCCTCCTCCCTCTGACGGGCAGGCGGGCGACAAGACGCCCCACTCCCAGGAAAGGGAAGTGGAGGGCTTGGCCGCCAAATGGGGGGGCAGCTTTCTCCCTCCCCAGGACGCCCTCTGCCCACCTGGAGGACCCTTTGCCCATGCCTGCTGTCTCACCTTTCCTCCCATGCCCCCTGCAGGGAGCTCTCTTCCCAGGGACTGGCATCTGGCTTTCTGCCCAGCAGGGGAACATTCCTTTCCACACATGCCCCCCCCCCCCTGCAAGAAGGCTCCAGCCGGCATCCTGCCTGTCCTAGGGAGGCTCCGTGGAAGAACAAGATGCCCAGGCCCATCAGGGCTGTGGAGTGGGTATGCACACGTGCCCCTTGGATCTCCGAGATGGCTGCACCACCCAACTTGCACCCTTCATCTATAAGATGGTGACAGCCCCAGCCCCCCTACTCCACAAAATGCCCGCCAGCCCAAGCTGCCCCCATCCTCCAGGAGGGCACCAGACTGGGGCGGGTTCCAAGGGCCCAGCCCCACGCTCTAATGGGCCCCTGTGAAGCGGGGAGGGAAGGCTGCCTCAGCCAATTACACCTTTACCACTGCCAGGGAGAGCCTGCTCTGACAAAGCACGTCAGCTTAATGCCAGGGTTCCTGCGTAGTGCCCAGGCTAGTGCCTGGGGTGGCCTCCACGCCACCTGTCCCTGCCAGGAAGCAATTATCCTGGGCTGCTCCCAATCGCTCCCCACCTGATCACGTGCAGGGCTGGCAGGGCGGGGGTGGAGAGGAAGCACACTGTGGTAGCCCGGGGACGGAGGGTCCCCATTGCAGGTCCACAAGCAAGGGGTCATGGATAAGAGCCCCGCCTGGCTCTGGGCCCCTCTAGCAGCCCCTAGGCGTATCTCTCCCCATAAGATGCTGCCTTCCCTGAGGCCCTTCAGCACAATCCCCACCCCCCACCCTGGTTGTCAGCAGCTGTGCCAGAGCAAAAGACCTGAACTGGGGACTGTGCAATAGAAACTCCCACCTGTGCCCCCTCCTGCAACTGTGCCCCCTCCCCCCAGCTCAGACCGAGAGACTTGCTGGAGGGGAGGGGCATGCAGGGCTACCAGCTGTTCAGCCGCGTCCACTGGCCTTGAAAAACACGGCAGTGAGCGAGGCACTTTGTATATGCCCAGGGATACTCTTTTCTCATCCATGGAGGTCCACCGAACTGACCTTTTGCATCCAAAGCAGAAACTCCTCAGACTCCTCAAATCTTGGCCCCAAAGTGAACGCCATGCATACTAAGATTTCCCTGCCCGTCATCGCCAGAGCAAGCAGCGGCCCAAGATTTGCAGGGGACGGGGTACATGGGGTATGGCCAAGGGTCCTGAGACCCTAGTAGATGCTGCCCAGGAAGGCCAGGCCTCGGGGCTCTTCTGAAGGAAAAAGGAGGAGGACCCGCATGCCCAGCCCCCCGCGTCCTGAGTCCAGGCCTGCAGCAGTGCTCAGCCCAGCCCAACTGGTTCAGACCCTTCCCCTTCCTACCAGCTGCCCACGCAGGAGGGGGAGAAGGCGCTGAGGTCAGCAGGGACAGAGGGACGGGTGGGCGGCTCCATTCCAGCCTTTCTCCTACCCTCCCCGTCACGGCTTCCAGTCTGGCCACATTCCTGAGGACCTCCAGGCCGCCTTCAGCCTCCCTTCCCGTGCCCGCAACAACACAGAAGGGGGGCAATCAGCCTTCTACCCTACCACAAGCCTCTGCTGCCCACAACCAACCTGGCAGCGAGCGGCCAGCAAGCAAGCCTTTGCTCCTGGTGCCGCTATTCCTGGCTGCCCCGAGGCCTTTGACGAGCCCCAAAGCCACGGGAGCGCAGCCCCACGGGCCAGGGTGGCCAAGGCCAGGGCAGCAGCGGGGGCAAGCACACCTTTGCACCAGCTCCCCCTTGCCTGGTGAGCCCTCAGGGACACCACCCACGCCCTCTTCGCACCCGGCTCAAGCCCAGAATGATCGGAGGAGTAAAGCGCCCTTCGGGAACGCTCCGGCGCAGCCTTCTGTGCCTAGCGTTACCATTATTCCTTCTGGGCAGTGACCCTTCTTGGCCACCCACATGCTAGCGACAAAGTCTCTGACAGCCATGCTTGCGTTCCCTCTTGCTTCTTTCTGCTGGTCCTGTGTGTCCTGATTGCGTGCCTGCTGCCTGACACGCCTGCTGCAACAATTCTCCTATTTCCCCAACAATCTCCTTTGACCTCCAATGGCATCTGCCCTCCCAGTAGGGGGTGCCCGCCCATTTCAATAGGCTTCAAAATTATGATTCACTGCAGTCTTAGCTGTGAGATGGTCTCAGGCAACCTGACGATATACAAAGGATGTAGAATTAACCTTCTGGGCTTGCATTTATGAGTCAGTTGCGCACCGGGCAACTTCTGGAACCTGGGGCCGCTTTGTGCTTAGCCACCAGTGCCCAGACCCTTCGGTTCCCAGGGCTGGCACCAACACCCTTGTCCCAGGAGGACTCCCCCAAGCGCATCCCCTGCATCTTGGAAACTACCTTCCTGCCACCCTCCCACAGGGAAGCACCGAGGCATGCTTGCGTCTTGCCCGGGATGAATTTCCCCAAGAGTTCCTGCTCTTTGTGGCACAGGGAGCCAACCGCTTCTGACCGCTTCCGGTTTTAAGAGCTTCCTATTCCTTACATGCCCAGAAGGCACGCAGCATTCCCATTTTGCCTCCAAAGGCTCAAGTGTGTGCTCACCCAACCGCAAGCCAGCTCCCCATTGGCTCTCCCTCCACTCACGGAGTAGCCAAAAAAGTCAAGACAGGGCCGCTTCGCCTCTTTTTCGTGTGTATCACGTGCGCGAACAGCTGCAAAAAATGGGCCGAGCTTTGATTGCACCGTCACGGTCACCAACTTTATGTTTTTGAGTAATTCCACCTCGGTGCTTACAGCACCAGAGTACACAAATTCCTTTTTTCACCCCGAAATCCATGGAGGAAAGGCAGAGGAGGAACAACTGAGGAGGGGCCCTGGGAGGCTTGGTCCGACGGGGAGGACCATCAGCCTGTGGATCCTTGGAGTCTCCAAGGACAACCAACACATGGCTGCTTCTCCATCAAGGGCTCTGCTTGGTTGGCTGTTCAGGCCCTTGGGGGCCCCACAGCACCCCCCCATTCTGCTCAGGAAACAGCCCCCTCCGTGGCTTGCTTCCTCCAGGACGTTCTCCAGCCCCTCTGGACCTTGGCATGTGCCCCCGTCCGTTCACTAGGGCCCAGGTCCATCACATAACGCTTCAGTCACGCAGGCTCACACACACACACACCCTCAGCATGAAGAAAGTCCAACCCTCAGGCCCTGTGGCCAAGAATAAGCACCCGGCAGGGCCTTAAGAGCAAGGGGGGTATCTGTTCCCTCTCCCCACGGGGCCTGGCTGAACCTCAGAGCCCTCTTACGTCTTCATTTGTCCCCCTCTTCCTGTCACAAAGGGGCCTGCAGAGTCCTCAGGACCAGGCAGCGGAGAGGTGAACCCTCCAGGCCCCCATCCCGCACCAGTAGTGGGCCAGCACGACCCAGCACACCGCCACTCCCTTATGTCTTTGCACCATCCTTTCTAAGTGTGGCCACTCCCAAAGAGGATCCAGGTGGCCAAAAATGAATGCCTACTGCTTTCCAGATCCACCTCTGAAAGAGACTGAGGTGGGGTTCATGCAAAACACCCACTGCAATGCTGGCCGAGCACCCCGCCTATCCTCTCACCTGCTTCGTGAGATGCCCTGGGTCTCAGCACAACACCCCAGGCCATAGACGACCCAGGATCACCTGGGTACCACCTCAGCTCCAGAGGTCCGACCTGCCGGGCAGACTCTAAGGCCACAGCAGAAATGCGGATGGAGGAGGGGAGGGGAGGGGAGGGGAACCACCACTTCCTCTGCCTTCACGTATCCCCCTGTAGCAGCGCAGCCCGCAGGAGGTGGAGGGAGACTCACCCTCTTGG